GCATAGGCCCGGCCACCTGGCTTTTTTTTTTTTTAAGAATTATTTCTTTTTATTTTTACTTATTATCATTCTTTTTCTTTTTGTAAGTTGGCACAAGAGAAACAGAGGGAGAAAGTGAGAAAAAGTAAGCCACCAGGTTCAAAACTCAAATGACGGTTGGTGGGAGTCCAGTGCTCCAACTATTACACCACCTGTCAGCTCCCACCATTTGGAGTATTAAAAATGATTATTGTGGGTCTGGCAGAGTCGTGCTATTGTTAAGGGCGCTGGACTCCCACATGGCTGACCGTGGTTTGAGTCCCAGACCTGGTGGCTTGCTTTCTCACTTTCCCTCTCTCTCTCTCTCTCTCTCACTTTTTCCCTTTCTGGTCAAATTAAAATAAATAAAGTTGAATAAAATAATTCTAAAAAAATATTATTCATTGTTTCAATCAACAAAGACTTACTGAAAACCTGCTTTAAGTCAGCCATGTTCTAGACCTTACTTAAATAGGGTAGAGGAAAAAAAAAAAAAGAAAACCAGACAGATAAGACTTGCTCTCACAGAACTTAAATTCTGGTGCAGGAACAGGCGGGAGAACAAATACACACCAGTGACGTCACAGATACGAAAACAGAGGGACAGTGAGGGCGACCAGAGCAGATGGTCAGGGAGGGCAAGAAGGTGACATTTAAGCGGACCGCATTCCCCGGTGGGGGAAGTAAAATAAATTAAGTATGAGTCATGCTACGACAACAAACTATAATGAAAGGAAAAGCCTCAACCCAAAGTATCAAATAAAACCACTTTAATTCCAAGCAAATAAACACCAAGCAAACAACGAGTTTACCTATAACACTGGGGCTTAAAAAATGGAAACAATCCTTTCTTCAAGGAATAAAAAAATCACTCAAGTACTCCCTGAAATTTTTACTACTTTTTACTTACCAGGCTGAATAAAATTCGATCTTTATTTAAACTCCTAACACACGATAGGTGAACCTTATTCTGAAGAAGAGAGAGCAAGTCACTAAAAACCTTGGTTCCAATTCAAGAATGATCTTGAAAGGATAATTACTTCCTCTCATCTGCTGCCCCCTCACTGGCCTCTGCTGAGATCAAATACCCATCTCTGTGAGAACTAATAACTAAGTATTACGAACCTGAGACTGATTTTTTTTCTACTTAAAGATGAAACATAATGAGATTAAAAGTAAGGAGGGGAAAAGGACAGGTTCAGCTTCATCTCAAATTCTTCATCAGTGACCTGACCTTCCCAGAATAGAAACGACGTGAGACAACCATAACTGCTTCCCGGTCCGCCCCGTGAGTCTCAGTCTACAGTCACGTTCACCCACGCCCTCCAGCTGCAGATTTGGGGCATGTTGCTCTCACCTGGCCGGAGCAGGCGCTGTGAGTCACGGGCTGATTGGCAAGGGACAGCAGAGATTCCACCATTTCCAACTCCTGCTGGTAAAACGTTTGCACTCTGTTCTCCATGAGGAATTCTTTGACTTTTTCACTCAGTAAACGTGTGAGACTGGCAAGGTCCAGGGCACCTGGATTGCAGCTGGGAGAAAGTTTTAAAAAGCCCTGTAGGAAACCATTACCTTTGTTCCTTTTTGGAGTGCATAAAACAAAAGCTAGGTAGAAAATGCAACACTAATTGCTGCTTGTTTTTGACATAAAGGGTAATTCACATCGTGAACATCATGGGGTTTAAAATTATAAGGGAGAACTGTAGGAACAAATACCCGTGAGAGATTGAGAAAAAGAGTCAAGCTACAGAATAGCATGAAAAGTATGCTCCTATTTTTGTAAATGACAGCCCACAAAGTATGTAGATGAATATGCTTGTGTGTGCACAGAAAAAAACAAATCTAAAAGGGAACACATCAGCCTACGAATAGTGGTCACCTCTGGTGAATGGTGCTGAAGCAGGAGACAGGAAATGGAGAACTGTCCATTTTACACAGGTCATGGTTTGTACTTTCAAAAAATGTAACTGTTGGGACCAGCAGTTGGCATAATGGCTATGTTGCTGGACTCCCATATAGTCGATCGTGGTTCAAGTCCCGGACCCGGTGGCTTAAACTCACGCTGGGCACGTGTGCATGCGTGCCCAAGGTCCCGAGAGGAGAATGGAGGAGAAGTGATTGTAGCCTGGCTATCCCTCCTGGGGGGAGATTTCTTGCTTTCTGTCTCTGTCTCTCTCTGCCTTTCTGGCAATCACTCGTGCCCTATAGCAAAAACCTCTCCAAAAAAAATAAAAGAAAGTTACTGTTTGGATATGTACGGTATTCACATGTTAAAAAAAAATGAAAGGGTCCACAGTGAAATGTTTCTTTCTTTTTTTTTTAAAAGAGATTTTTTCTATAGGGTGTGTAAGCTCACCAGAGAGACACAAAGTCTGGAATGAGTTTTAAGCCGTCACATCTGGGACTGGAACCGCGACTGGCCATGTGGGAGTCCAGCAATGTAACCATTATACCATCTGCTGGTCCCAGGTCTCCTTTCTATACTTCTCCCCATCCTATTCTTTAGTCAAGGTATCCACTGGTACTGATTTTCTGTATTTCCTCTCAAAATTCTTTTATGTATACACAAAGGAACTGCAAATATTTTATCAAAGGGCTGGCCCCATAGCTTAGTGATGAAGAAAGCTGAACTCCACATGACTGAGGGGTCCAGTTCGAGTCCTAGTCCAGAGGCTTGAAAAACATGCCAGGTGTGTGTGCACGTGTGCCCCAAATCCCAACTAGATGGAGACATAAAGAAGGGATCGAGGTATAATACTACAATGTTTTAGAGTTGTTAGAAGAAAAATACATGTATAATTGGAGTAACTGAAGGAGCAGAAGGAGAGAGCAGAAAAAAAGTACTCGAAGAGATAATGGCTGAAATTTTTCCAAGTTTGATGAAAACTGTCAACTCACAGATCCAAGTGGCTCAGTGAACCTGAAGGCAAGAACCCGAGGCATGGTACAGTCACCTCAACTCGATTCCATTGCAGAGGTATCCTGCACCACTAAGGGATCCTCTCTCTCCCTCCATCTCTCTCTGGCAAGCACACATGTCCTCTGGCAATTACTTAAAAAGAAAAAATAAAATGAAGGAAAGCCAGAGGGTGGTATAGTGGTTCAGGCACTGGACTCCCACAGGACTAACCACAGTTCGAGCCCAGGATATGGTGACTTGTTTTCTCACTTTCTCTCTTTCTGTCTCTCTATAGTGAGTGCACATGCCCTATAGCAAATTTAAAAAATAATAATAAAAAATAAAAATAAATAAATAATTCTTGGGACCAGTAGTTGGCGTAATGGCTATGTCGCTGAACTCCCATGTAGTCAACTGCAGTTCGAGTCCCGGACCCGGTGGCTTAAACTCACACCAGGCACGTGTGTATGTGTGCCCAAGATCCTGAGAGGAGAATGGAGGAGAAGGGATTGCGGCATGGGCATGCCCCCTGACGGGTGATTTCTCACTTTCTGTCTCTCTGTCTTTTTGGTGAGCAAACGCACCCTATAGCAAAAACCTCTCCCAAAAAAAGAAAAATAATAAAAACAAATAAATAAATAATTCTTTTTAAAAAAGGAAAAGAAATTCATGAAAACATGAAATCAAATTTTATTTTGGTGCAAAAAATGGTGAAATCCAGTATAATCTTTTCATAATAAACATATTCCATTAAGTTTTTGAAGACCTCAAGTATAAGCAAACACACACATAGTTTTATTCACCCTGGGTTTTTCCTCTGTGCACAAGAGAGTAAAAACATACGTGACGGGAACAGCCTGTGTGGGTTTGCAGGGTGTTGGTTATGACGTGTTATGGTGCAGTATTCTGCCTGTGCCATGCCTCGGTGGTGTGACCGTGCCCTGCCTTGACGATGCAACCATGTTGTGCCTGGGTGCTGTGACTGCCATGCCTGGGTGATACGACCGTGCCGTGTCTCGGTGGTGTGACTGTGCCGTGCCCCCCAGCGATGGGACTGTAGAAACTCATTTATTCATCTCTTTCATGAGAGGGAGAGACAGAGAAAGAAAGAGTACCCTCAACAGGACAGCCATGCTGTGATCCATTCCCAGCAGTCAGTCAGTGCCCAATTATGAGCAAGAACGTGCCTGGTGTATTCAGGGAGGTCTCCAGACTTGAACTAGGAACCTTCCCATGTGGTTCCTGGCCAAGTGTTCTACTGCTGTGCTACCATCTGGCCCCCGACTGTATTATTAGCTTCACTTTACAGATGAGGAAATCTAGGCACACAGCGGGTTAGAGGACATGCTCGGAGACCCACAGTACACACAAAGACAATTCAGGACTTGAACCCAGTCTGGCCCCAGCAATGTGGGCTCCCACGGTTTGGTTTTACTGCTGTGGTGGATCACATTTACAGGGGTGATGAGGCATAACTTACCTTAGCGCCTCTTCTTTCTCTAGGGCTGGGCTGCGAAAAGGCTGGTCATAAACTTTCCTGTAGATGTTGGGGAGCTCAAGCATCCTTGCGATTTGAATGTTCCACACCGGGTCATCCACTTTATCTAAGAAGTCACCAGTAAGAAGATGCACAAAAATTACACTGAGGTCAGTTCTCTTCCCATGTCCATAGTGAGGGAGGCACCTGGTGGGTGCCCAGAAACCACAAGTAGTCATCTTATGAGAGGGAATGCAACTCCCCCGAGTGTCACAGGCTTGGCCAGGGAGTAGACTGGCACCAGGAAGCAGAGAGTATAGTCACTTGGCCATTATTCTGGTGGACAGCAATGCTGTCTTTGAGATTTCCAACTGAAAACCAGCTAGCACAGCGCAGAGGAGATAATGTGAACTGTTATATTTCTTTCTTTTCTTTTAAAAGACAAGGTCTTGGGAACCAGCAGTTAGTGTAATGGCTATGTCGCTGGACTCCCACGTAGTCAACCGTGGTTCGCGTCCTGGACCCGGTGGCTTAGAACTCACGCCGGGCGCGTGTGCATGTGTGCCCAAGATCCCGAGAGGAGAATGGAGGAGAAGGGATTGCGGCGTGACCGTCCCCTCTGGGGGATGATTTCTCGCTTTCTGTCTCTATGTCTCTCTCTGTCTGTCTGGCGAGCGTACACGCCCTATAGCAAAAACCTCTCCAAAAAAAAAAAAAAAAAAAAGGCAAGGTCTTGCTGTGTCATGACCTTCCTGCCTCAGCCTACCCAGTCAGTGGGATTACAGGCATGCGCCACTACACCTGGTCTTTGGGTTGGAACAGAAATTGAACTGGGGTTTTCCATGTGGTCCCAGACTCTTAAGCACAGTGTCTTAGCAGCATGCCACCACTGTGGGGTCCAGGACTGTCACATTTCTTACTAGTATCTTAATTCAGGGTTCATAGACTCAATGATGTTCAAGAAACATCCACATTTTGAGGTACATCAACATTCAGCCTTAGTGGACTGACAGCCTGTCAAGTTCTTGGAAAGTCTACTATTGTCCAAATAAACTTGCCAACTATATATAGTAATTACTTCATTTTCTTTCTCAATTTATGATTTCTTCCATATAAAATTAAGAAATGATTCTGGGACCAGCAGTTAGCGTAATGGCTATGTCACTGGACTCCCATGTAGTCCACCGCAGTTCACGTCCTGGACCCGGTGGCTTAAAACTCACGCTGGATGTGTGTGCGTGCGTGCCCAAGATCCTGAGAGGAGAACAGAGGAGAAGGGATTGCGGCATGACCATCCCCCCTGGGGGGGTGATTTCTCGCTTTCTGTCTCTCTGTCTCCCTCTGTCTGTCTGGCAAGCGCACGTGTCTGAAAGCATAAAAACCTCTCCCCCTCCAAAAAAAAGAAATGATTCTGAGATCAGCAGGTGGCATGGTGGTTAAGAGCTGGACTTCCATGTGGTGACTGCAGTTCAAAATTTAGACCTGGCGGCTTGCTTACTCACTTTCCCTTTCTCTCTTTCTGTCTCTCACTGGTCACATTTTTAAAAATAATAATAAACAAAATTAAATAAGTAATTCTTTTTTTAAAAAGTATTATTTTATTAAACTTAATATTACTTATTTATTTACTTTAATTTGATCAGAGAGAGAGAAAGGGAGAAAGTAAGACAGCGAGCCGCCAGGTCCAGGACTCCAACCATGGTAGGCCATGTGGGAGTCTAGCACTCTTAACCACCACGCCACTTGCCGGCCCCAAAGTAAGTAATTCTTTAAAAAACAAAAGGAATAATAAGTGATTCTTTTCTTCCTTTTATCTTTCCCTTTTTTTTTTTGGAGAGATTTTCGCTATAGGGCGCATGCGCTCGCCAGACAAACAGAGAGACATAGAGACAGAAAGCGAGAAATCACCCCCCCAGGGGGGATGGTCACGCCGCCATCCCTTCTCTTCCATTCTCCTCTCGGGATCTTGGGCATGCATGCACACGCACCTGGTGTGAGTTTTAAGCCACTGGGTCTGGGACACGAACCGCGGTCGACTACGTGGGAGTCCAGTGACATAGCCATTACGCTAACTGCTGGCTCCCTCCCTTTTTTTTTTTAAGAGAGATTTTTGCTATAGGGCACATGTGCTTGCTGGAGAGACAGAGAGACAGAGAAACAGAAGGTAAGAAATCGCCCCCTAGGAGGAATGGCCATCCCGCAATCCTTTCTCCTTCATTTTCCTCTTGGGGTTTTGGACATGCACACATATGCACCCAGCATGAGTTTTAAGCCACTGGGTGTGGGACTCAAGCCATGGCCAACTACGTGGGTGTCCAGTGACGTAACCATTACACCATCTGCTGGTCCCAAGAAATAATGCTCTTCTAATGAAAGCATGTTACACAACATAATTCCCCCAAATAAGTACAGTTTAATCTTATTTGAACTTTTTGGAGTTCAGATAAATACAAGAGCTTACTGGACACACACTCAGAATAACGATCAATCTGGCAGAAATATCTTGTGCTTACAGTAGGCAGTGGCATGAACTTCTCGCTCTTCTCTGTACGTGCGGACATAGCCTCTGATGCGGACGACGTCCCCGATTTCTATCTTTGTTTTCTGGTCATTGGTCTCTTGCAGCTTCTTCAGCTGTGAGGTTAGGCTTGACGCTCTTGCTGCAGTCGGAGCAGCTGGGGGTGTTAGAGCCAGACAGATAGACAGTTATAACAGGCCACCCTGCCACATCTGAGAGACAGTTTTAGGCTAAGACCAACACAATACCCTTGATGAGTCTACTTCTGACTAGTTGCATTACGGTAGGAAATCCACCTAACCTTCTGAAGTGCCCTACTGAATAAAAGGTCTAAGTTATAATTACTCAGACAGAGTGAAGGGACTGAAGCCTGGACTGAGGCCAAATGGGGACATTCCAATGTCACTCCAAGGCCTTCTTTCCTACCCCTGTGCTGCTGGTGCAAAGGGCTCTAAATGATCTGCAGCTGCATTCTGTACAATTTCAGCCAGGTTCAGTGAGGATAGCTCGGAACAACCTTTAAAGTGTGCTTGAAGAGAGACTAGTCCGGCCTAGGTGTTCGACATACCTAATCTTTCACCTCTCATCTCTCCTGGGAACCAGGCTAGCCGCAACTCACTCCATGTACACATGCTCACAGTCTACGTCATCACTTAAAATTATAAACCAGGGGCCAGCATATGGTGTAGTGGTTAAGGTGTTGGACTCCCCCATGGTCAACCGTGGTTCAAGTCCCAGACACAGCGGCTTAAAAATCCCACTGGGCTCGTGTGTGTGTGTGTGTGTGTGTGTGTGTATGTGTGTGCCCAAAATTCCAAGAGAAGAACGAAGAAGGGATTGTGACAAGGCCATTCCCCGGGGGTGGCCGGGGGGGGTGATTTCTCAATTCTCTCTTTCTGCTTCTCCAGTGAGCACACATACCCTATAGCAAAAATCTCTCCAAAAAAAGAAAAGAAATTTTAAACTTAAGCAACTTTATGGTGCAAAGAATCCAATGCACATTTAACTCTAAATAATTTCTATCACTCCATTTTATTTCCAAATTGTATTAGTTTAATAATAATAATAGCATGAACGTTTGGCTACCGTAGGTGCTGTTCTAAGGGTTTGAAAATGCATTAGTATATCTAATACTCACGACATTCCTACTTATAATTAGCCCCGTTTTAGAGATGAGGAAACCAAGTCACAGAGAAGTCAAGCAACTTGCCAGAAACAAAACAGCTAGTTAGTGACGAAGCTGGAGTCAGAATCCAGGCAGTCTCAGTCCAGAGCCACCCTGGCTGTCTTTCACTCTGCTGCCTGCCCACGAAGACACTCCTATTTCCCATAGTCACAGCTGGTGGGTGGAACAGACTTTGTGTTCGGTTTTTCTGCCCAGGATAATGTCAAATGCACATATGTGTCCAAGGAATCTACACAATGCAGCACTGCAAGCAGCAATACAGCATTCTGTCTTGTTATGATGCCAGTCTGCTTAGCTACTCTCGCTAAATACTTCCACTTTTCACAATTGTGTGTGTGTGTGTGTGTTTGTGTGTATGTGGTTTTTGCCACAGGGCGCATGCCCTTGCCAGAGAGAGGGAAAGTGAGAAATCAGCCCCCGAGGAAGGATGGCCATACCTCTCAATCCCTTCTCCTCCATTCTCCTCTTTGGATTTTGGGGGCACACACACACACACACACACACGCCCAGAGTGATTTTCAAGCTGCCAGGTCTGGGACTTGAACTATGCAATCTGCCACATGGGAGATAGCCACCTTAGCCACCATGGCCCCTCCTCTCTACTATTTACTTATTTATATTTACATTTAATCACTGTCTATCTTTACAACCTCTTCTCTACTCTTAAGCTTCAGTTTCCTCAATTATGAAATGGAGATAACAAAGTATACCTCACACATATTTTTATGCATGATCTAATTTAACCCTTACACCATGAGCTTAACACAATTGCCAATGCAAAAGAAATACTCAGGGGCCAGCAGATGGCATGGTGGCTAACGCCCTGGACTCCCACATGGTCAACCGCAGTTCAAGAACCAGACTTGGAGGCTTACTCTCTCGCTTTCCCTGTCTCTCACTGATCGAATTAAAAAACAAAAACAAAACCAAAAAAACCAAAAAAACAAACAAACAGAAGTCCAAAGGGGTTTACAGTCCATTACATATTGTCAGAACACTGGGCAGGAAAAAAAAAATACATCTACCCACTCTGCTTTTATTTATTTATTTTTTGAAAAGTTAAAAATTCCTTCATTTTTTTATTCCTGGTACAGGGCAATATACCGGATGTGATGAAAAGAAAAAGAAAAAGACAAAGCTACACAGATAAAGATGTACACAAGAACGTACATCTAATTGACACTACACTGCATTAATCAAAAGCTGCACTTTTTGCAAACTGTTGCCATGACAGTCCTGAACAAGAAGGGTTTCCTGTTGAAACGGCAGTGACTTTTCTGACTATGGGTCACCGTTCCCCCTGTGGCAGATTTTTGCAGTTCCTCTGATGCATTGGGGACAGCTGTCTCACTTTCTCTCCTGCTAAGAACTGTCGCCCTTTTCCGCTGTTTTTAGAACCTCCTGCTGCCGTATCCCCCACTTCCACCACCAGATCCATAACTACCACCATAAGGACTGCCCGAGCTCCTTCCACGAAAACTGCCACCTTTCCGGGGTCCATAATTTGATTGCTGTTGTCCACTATAATTTCCAAAATCATTATAGTTGCCACCACCATAGTTACCACTGCCCAAATTTCCTCCTTCATTGTAACCACTGTATCCTCCACCACCACCACCACCACCACCACATCCACCGCCTTGGTTTCCATATCCTGATCCACCACCTCCATACCCATCTCTACTGCTATAACCAAGACCACCCCCACAGTTGCCACCATCACCACCAAATCCATTATCTCCACCATCACCTCCTCCATAAGTACCTCTGCTGCCACCACCTCCACCATCATAGCCTCCTCTTCCACCAAAGTTTCCACCATGACCAAAATTACCTCTACCACCTCCAGAGTTTCCTCCATGACCCATTAAGTTGGCAGATCCACCTCCACGACCTCCTTGTGATCCAGCAGACGGCATCACTGTTTAGAAAGGGCCTTTTTGGGACCAGCAATTAGAGTAATGGCTATGTTGCTGGACTCCCACATAGTCGACCATGGTTCGAGTCCCGGACCTGGTGGCTTAAACTCATGCTGGGCGTGTGTGTGTGCGTGTCCAAGATCCCGAGAGGAG